CCGGGCACTTCAGCTGCATCGCGGCAGCGATGGCCTCGTCGCTTGCCCCACACGCGCGGAACGCCCTCACGAGCTGATCCTTCGAGGGATGTCGAAGGTTCTTGTGAATCCTGAGCACCGCGTTCTGCACCTCCTTCGAGACCTTCGTCTCCTTCAGCGTCGTCATATCCTCCTGGGGCTCCTCCGTGGCCGGGAAGTCCACAAATCCCCGGTCGTCCACCTCCTCTGGGCCCCCCTCGGAGTCCTCCTCAGCCGCGAGCACCTCATTCGTGCCAAACAGCTTCAGCATGCCCTTCACGATGCTCCTCGCCAACTCCGAAGTATAGTGGCCCGTCCGCGCCGTCACGCTCGGGCCGCCCATGACAAGGTCGTGGGCGTGCGACTGGTCGCACTGCCGATTGAGATCCCCGAGCAGCTCCTGGTGTGACACTAAGAACCTCGTGGGCTTCCGATGTGCTACCCCGCGCTCCGAGGTGAGGCCGTGCATGCACTGGTCCACCTCTGCAGCGTAGCCGTTCCGAATGAGCCCCTGGAGTTCTGGCTCACTCCAGACTCGAGACCACCTCGGATTCTCAATCATCCAGGCTCCACCGTAGGTCTCCACGACCTTCGTCACCTCCTTCACAAATCTCAGAAATTGTCGGTCTCGATCTTGCCGCTCTCGAACCTTGGCCTGATCCTTCTGGAAATCCGTCAAGTTGCTCCAAGGTCCACAAGGCCATGAACACCATATTAGGCTTCCTTGTCTTGATGTCCTGCAGCACTTCGCGACGCTTCTTTGGCGACCTGAGGTCATCGCCGAACTCCAGCGAGTAACTCCGCATCGTCGGGAGTCCCATCCTGGCCGCCTCCTTGCGCACCGCCTCCTTGGTCGTGAACACCTCGGTGATCCACGGCTGCGCCTTGGTCCTCTCGCTGATGGCCGCCTCGCACTCGGCCTCCCATGAACCGAAAGAGGGCCCAAACTCCTTCAAGTAGGCGTCTAGCTTGACGTCCACCGTCGCAAGGTCGCGCTGCAGGGAGTACAACTGGTCCTTGACCAGGGCCCTGATGCCGTGCTTCATCTTCTCCACCTTCGGGTTGAGGTCAACCCGATCCGTGAAGTTCACCTCCTTCGTAACCTTTACCGGCATGCACATGCCTAGCATCGCCGCGCCGAACAGCCACCTCGATAATGCCGAAGGCCCCCGAGCAGCGGGTCGAGCTCGAGGGTCGAAAGGCGGCGGGCGGACCCCCGCGCTGCCAACCGCTGGGCCCCTCGGACCCATGCGAGCCCGCACGAATAGCACCTCGTCGTACGCGTAGGCCGCGTCCTTCAGCGCAGGCATCGCCATCAGCTCCGGGTTGCCGTCCGTCGGTACCTCGTGATGGCGCGCGTAGTCCACCAGCTCGGCCTTGTTCTTGATTCCTAGAGAAGGAAGCACCCGCATACGCCTCCTGGCCCCATGAGATAGCGCCGAGCTCGGTGTCCCAGGGGCCGAGCTACCCGCTGGCCCGGCGGAGCCTGAGGCTCCAGGCGACACGCCCACGCTCACGAGCGCCTCGCCTTCCTCCTGAGGGGTCCTCCTCCTCTGCTTCGCGCAGTACTCCATCAGTCGGTCAATCAGCACCTTGACGCTCAAATGCTCCGCCCGCGGAATCTCCAGCACCGTCGCCATGTCCCCCAGCGCATCCCGGGGGACTCGTAGGAGCTGATCTCGATCACAGAGCAGCGGCCGGCCTTCGGATGCGGTCGGCCTTGGCCTCTCAGGTTCTGGCTCCCAATAGAACCGAGTGACCGTGTTCCTCGGCGGGTCGAGCTGTTCGAACATCTCCTCGTTAGATAGCCCCTCGATCCACCGCAGGTCCTCAATGATATCGCCCGTATCCATGCAGAGCGTCTCTCGGGCCCTCACCAACTTCCAGTTCGGCCCGTCGCGGTTCGAGGACTTGAGCGCCCTCGCGTTGTAGTCCTGGCGCTCCCGCATCTCAAGGCCAGAGACATCGACCTCTCCGTCGGGCATGTTCCAGTCGTCCTCATCGTCGGGCACAGACAGGTGCCACGCCCCCAACTTCAGCGGCCCGTCGGTCTGCCGCGCGGGCAGCCCACTCAGACTTCACCGTCGTCAGCGCTTCTCGCACCTTGGACTTGACGCGGAAGACCGCCTCCGCTGTCGGAATCCCCGAGGGGGGCTTCCAGCTCCCACGCGGGAAGATTAGCATCGAGTTGCGCCCGCCGTCGGTCTCGTTCAGCCGCTTCGGCGTGATGCCGAGCCGGTCCGACTTGAACGAATCCTCCGCGAAGTTGATATCGGCGCCCATGCCACGTAGAGGCCTTCCCGATGAGCAACTGCAGCACCGAGTTCTCAATGACCGAGAAGGTCAGGTATGCGTCCACGCCGAAGACCGACACCGGCACCGTCCAGCGTTCCTTGGAGATCTGCTTCTGGCCGTTCCCGAAGCGGAAGATCGCGAGCTGCGGCTCCTTCTTGATGTAGTTCTCGATGCCCAGCTCCCTGCACCGATCCTCGAGTCTGTTGGCGTACGAGTCGCCCGACACCGTGCTGTTGCAGGCTGAGTCGAGCGCGCCGTCGTCTCCTTGACCCCCGATGGACGCTGACGAGAGCAGCGCCTCCTGAATGGCTCGCTCGTCCCTTGAATCACTCCCCATCCCAGGAACTGGCCCATCTGCAGGCCCTCCGCCAACGGAAGAAGAGGGGGCACCACTCCCCATGCCAAAGACTTGCGTCGCCATCAGGACTTCATACGAACGAGTCGTGCTCGCCAAGACATCGTCCTCTGCTGCCTGCTGGCCGGCGCCCTCGTAAATCTCCGCGTAGTCCCGCCCACGCATCGAGCACCGGACATCGCGGTCGTCTCCTTCGTAGACGCAGTCCGGGCAGAAGGGCGGGTTGTCCAGGTGACTGCGCTTGTCGTCCGTCTCCTTTGCCGTCACCCCGAACACAGGCGTCTCATCCTGCTCGTGCTCGCAATTGCTGGTCATCAGCACCTCGAACACGTCCTTCTGAATCTCTATCATCTGTGCGTCCAACCGAATCTGCGGCGTCTGCAGCAGGTCCACCACCATCGCGTCCTTCGGCTTGAACCGCTGCTGCAGCTTCTTCTTGGCCTGCTCAGCCTTCCACTCGTTGAGCTTTGGGCAGCAAGCATCACCAGCCCAGCGCCCCTTCTCGCCGCAGGCGTGGCAGTCCGAGTTTTTCTTGTCGGGGCTGCTCTTGCCGAAGCTCGACGTGAACTTCTTGCCGCTGCTCGAGCTTGAGCCTGAACCTCTGCCACCGCCCTTGCCACCAAACTTGCGGTCCTTCCGAAGCTCCTTCACGCGCTTCTTCCTCTCGCGCACCGTGATGAGGCCCTCCATCATTGACTCCGCGCCGCTCTCTAAGTTCCCGATCTCCTGGGCCAGCTCTGGGTCGTTCTCCGCCTCCTCGAGCACCGTCGAGAGCGCCTCCAGCTCAGCGGCGAGGATGCCCTCTATATCGTGGTCCTGCTCCGTCGCCAGGGCCTCGTCGACCGTCTCGTCGTCGGCGTCTCCGCCGAAGCTGCCAAGCTCCGCGTTCAGCGCCTCGAGTTCACCCTCGTCTAGCTGGCTGATCCCATCAAGGTCCTCCGTCACGTGTGCCTCTCGGAACTTCCGAATCACCTTCTTCTTCAAGAGCTGCGTCCCTGGGCGGTTGAAGGTGATCGGTCTCCTGCTGCGGTCGAATGCGAGGGGCCTTCGCTCCGTGACGTGCAGGTTGGGAAAAACCCGCATCATGGCTGGGACCACCTCGCGAATCTCCATGCTTCCGCCGGTCGAGGTCATCAGCATGCTCTTCTGCGTCTCGTTCAGCCCGGTCTTCTCGATCAGCCACCAGCCCGCCGTTCTCGCCGGTAGGGCCACGTCTTCCTCATCCAACTGGCTGCGAGCCTCCCCGAACCTGATCATCCACGAGTTCAGATCCTCGCCGGCCCTCCTATGCAACTGCTTGTAGAAGTAGTTCATCACCTGGCCCCTGCGCGTCGGCTCGTCAACTCCCATCGTTGCCAGCACCTCCATCGAGCGATTGATGCCCGCCATCAGGTCGGGCTCCTGCCAGTGGCCTCGCTCTTCTTCTTCGTCGTGATCCCCGCTCTCGGCCGCATCAGCGGCCGCCTCGGTGCTCGCCTCCTCGGGGATCCACGTCCACTGCTTGGGCCGCAGCTCCACCATCGGGATGGACTCGCCGAGCGTCTTTGCTGGGCCTGTCAGGCAACGCACCATCCGTGCTGCCCAGCTCCAACTCACGTCCAGGTTGATACCTTCAATCCACAGCGCCACGTCCTTCTTTTATCTCCTCCACCGCGACGGGCTGCCGTCCCAACTGGGTATGCCCTCGAGGTCGCGGCTTGTCCACGCTGGCGCTGTCACCCAGCTCGTCGAGGAGCGCTGCGTCCATGAAGCTCCTCGTCCTCCACTCGGCCGTGGAGGGAGCGCATCTGGCGAGAGCGTGCCGCCGCCCATCGCCGGATAGCGCTCTGGGGTCGATGCTGGTCGCATCACCCTCCTCGTCGCAGTCCGTGTACACGTCCAGGTAGTACTCGTCCTTCAGCACTCGCTCTGCACTGAGAATCGTCGTAGATCTCGCCCCTCGGCCGATGGCGCCCGCGCAGCGGCGGGCTCCGCTACCACTGCGGAACCGGGTTGGGCCTCCTGTGACCTCCCGATCCCGCAGCGGGGGTCGGCGGCGGAGCCCGCAGGGCTCGAGGAGAGGATGCGGCCCCTTTTCCAGTCCTGCTACCAGGAACCAAATCGCCTCAGGCCAGCTCGAACCGAGCCGGCAGCAATGGGAGAGAGATAAGAGGGAGAAAGGGCGGGGGAAAAGAGTATATAACGGGCTTAAAGCCGAGAGCAGGGGACAGATCCAATCCGAAGGGCTCGTTTTTCCTCAATAAGGGGGTCGATGCATCGCCCCCTGAACCAATCCCAATCCCCCCCCCCGACGTCGCCCTTGATCAACCCCCGACGACCGGCGAACCGCAGCCTGAGGCATCACCTCTACGAAGACGTCGCTGGTCATCGGAGGCATCTGCTGCTGCGCCATCATCATGTGAGGCACCTGCCCATACTGAGCGCCTCACGGGGGCGCGTCTGTCTCCCCGCTCCACGCCAATCTCGATGGGAGGGGGGCGAAGTAGGGAGGAGGAGGAGGAGGAGGAGGAGGAGGAGGAGGAGGAGGAGACAAACGTGCGGGAGGGAGAGGTGGAGGGATGAGGGATGAACGGGGTGGAAGATGAGGGATGGGGCATGAGGAAGAGACCAGAAGAATGATGAGCAAATGGATGGAAACTGAGGAGGAGGAGGAACTGAAGGCGAGGATCAGCCCCCTCCCCCCACGATGGAGGCACGCAAGAGGACGCAGAAGGGATGATGGAGGGAGAAGGCAAGGACAAATGACAGAGAGCACAACAGTTTGGACGGCAGGCCGTCCAGGCCCAGCGGGGCGTGGCTGCCGCTCAGGCCTGCCCCACGCTGGCGGGAAGTGCTACACAACAAACAGGGGTGGGGACCCCCCACCCCCTCTGGCATGGACTATCGGGGTCCCCGACTGGCGGACTGGACAGAAGAACGGGCCTGTGGCGATCACGGCGCGGCATGCCCCGTATGCACACCGGGGCCAAGGGTGCTGGCTTCAAGCGCGTTTCGGCGCGCGCCTCGGTAGCGCACGGAGCCGTGGCGCATCCTTGGGTCATCCGCCGCAGCGGGCCAGTTGTTCCCGCAACGCACCCGAGAGAGGAGAGGCTAGTAGCACTGGTGTGCTGCTAGCGGTGAACATCGAGGTGTTTTTGAAAGCTTCCCTGGAGGGTGACCCCGAGAGATGCGTTCGGACCGAAGGCTTGTTGCGGGTCGGTCCAGGCCAACTGATCTCGTTGGAATATGTCCAGCAGGGGGTCCAAACTGTTCCTGGATTGCAGCGCCGTGGTTCTAGCGATAACGACCGCTTCACGTTCCTGATCCAACTGTTGCCTGTTGCCTGGCAACCATGGAGTGCTGCGCGAAGGCGTGCCTGCGATCCGTTCGCTGCCTTGGTGATCCACATGTGTCTACTCGCTCTTGAGTGGTGAGGCGGTCGTAAGTCCTCGCGCCCACGTGGGACGGGCAAGCGACCCGGTGGCTAGGCGGTGCGGCCGCGCGGGCGGGGTTCTGGTGGACTTCCAACCCTTGAGGCACCGCGCACGAGTGACTTAGCTGACGCCGACCTGAGCTTTCGCCGTCGGCGTCGTGCCCGCCGCTATCGTGACTTCCTGATGGAGTAGCAGTGGTTACTTCATCGTTGTTCAAGGCCGCACCTAGCCACAATGCGTCCTCGCCTCCTCCTTCGAAGTCGTGGGATAGGGCTCCCCATTGATCGTCGAGATCGTCGAAAAACTCCAGCCCTGGCGGGCCTTGAGGTTGCGAGGGGTCGCCAGGTCAGCCTGGAGTCTCGTCCCTGCCTTTCCCTATGATGAGCGGATTGGGCTGCAACATTCTGAATTCAACCCCAGGAGAGCGCTTTTCTTTATTTCCGGCGATGACGGGCGTCACGGGGGGGTATGACGTAATGCCCCCCCCCCCCCCCCGTGTGGCAGGAGGAGGAGGAGGAGGAGGAGGAGGAGGGGAGGAGGAGGAGGAGGAGGAGGAGGAGGAGGAGGAGGAGGAGGAATGGGAATGGGAATGGGAATGGTCAAATCGCGAAGCGAAAAAGGATTAATTAAGGTGGGATGAGGCCTCTGGCTCGTTGCTCCGACAACGACAGAAGCTTTGGCCAGAGCCCATCCACAATCCTGTTTAAATAGTCTTGTCGGGACTTGTTGGTCCTATGAGTACACTCGGATGCAAGCCCTATGATTTGGTCGGAGGAATAATATCCGCACACTCCGCAAAACCAGAGTTTCAGGTTGACGTGAAACCTGAGATTGTGAGAGGAATGCAGCCACCCCCCCGCCCTATGGACTTTACACCCCGAGGGTATCCTTGAAACAACACCGTCTACATACTGCAGCTCAAAACAGGGCGTCTTAAGCCAATTCGCGAGACATTTTTTTGACGCGGACCCTTGGCACCTCATGCACTGGCGCCCAGAGTCATCCAGGATATGCGTGGTACAGAAACGAGCAACAACGATGGGGGCAGGCGGAACGATACGAAGTTGCTCCGACTCCCTACGGGGTCTGGGGTCAACGGACATCGCGTCCATCGTGGCTCTCAAGAGCCGCCTCCTGACCAACTCCGCTTTTTTCTCCTGCAGTGCGACACGAGTGCGTTCTGCTTGTGGAACACGATGTGCCTCAGCCGCACGTCCTGCCAACTGATCAGCTCGATGATTGCCGTGCCACATCCACGGCGCATATCCTTTCCCTGCAGCTTCCGTCTCCGACAAGTGTGAATTCATAAACAAGACGGAAACACGGCCGTGTCGGTCTCCGTCGGCATGCATGTGCTGACCGATGGCACCCCATAGGTCAACGTCCGAATTGGCCTCACGTGGGCGGAGGTAGGTGCGGCTTGTCCACCCTTTCTCCACCCCTTCGTTGTCTGTAAGATACACGACGGCGCCACGAGTGCATCGTAGGACGTACTCCAGCACCGCCAACTCGCCTCTGTAGACTGTCTGCCTCCGTCCTGGTAGGGGGCCCCATGCTTCGAGCCCAAGCCTGACGGGATTGCGCCGCTCAACGATGACAAAACCCAATCCCACTCGCCTCAGCTTGGGAGAATGAGTATCTGCTCCACCGCTCGCGTCCCCACAAATGTACACTGGGTTGTCGTCGGTGCCCTCTGCAAAGATGCGGCCACTGCTCCAGGGCCCTGGGTCTGTATGCAAGGGTTGACCGACCGTGGGGTTCATCACATGCATGGACTCCGCAGGTCGGTACTGCGCACCTCCTTCGTTTGCCTGGGGCATGAAGGGAAGTGGGCAATGCGTGCCTACGGAGTCAAGTATCCAGCTCTCCTCTGCAGCTGGTGGACTCACTGCCGTCCACGAACTTGGCAGCAGTCCTCGAAGCCAGAAACATTCGTACTGCTCGTACTGGCTGGTGGCCTGCGGTGTATACTGGTCGGAGTCGCGGTACGCCTGATGCCCTACGTTCTGAGGGCACAACCAGCACCGATGCAGGGGTGTCTCAGGGTACCTATCCCCGTGCAGCAGGCACCTGGGGCACAGCTTGAACTCCTCGTCGTCAACCTCGAAGCGTGTCCGAGGCCAAGTGCCTCCAGTCGCCACTGCCAGCATCGTCTCGGCCCATTGTGCCCCCTTAGGCACCTGTGCCAGACGTCTGAGTAGGTCTCGGAGGGAGTCGTTGTCGATGCCCTCGGCCATACCCTCGCCGAGGTAATGCGTGGCTGCCTGCTGCCAGAGAACTTCCCTGACTGAACTGGAAAGATCTGCAAGAATATCGCTGAAATCCTCGTTGCCCGTCAGCTCGTCATTCTTGAAATGCCATTCAACCTGCTCACGACCACCTCCTCGTGTCAGTCGCCAATGCGATGGTGAAATCGGCTCCCAATGGTACTGCAGAAGAGTAACAATCACTGCGCTGACTGGTCCACGTACATGTCGTGTCCTCTCGGCGCTGGTAAGTGCCCTCATCTTGCTGACGATGTCTGGCCAAACTTTCTCGATGGATCTGCGGATAGCACTGTTCGAAGTCCAGAGTCGCAACCATTCGCTCAAACACTCCTTGCTCAAGCGGATGGCTGGGTCCTGCTCGGGGGCGCGCAGATCGAGCGTCGTAGTCAAACAGCGACCCCGACGATTCGACCCGCATACTGATCCCAGCCTGCGTCGTAGATTGCTGAGCTCTGTGCCGAACATCCCGTGAATCTGATGTCCGTAATGTGCTACCGTCTGGCCTGCAACTTTCTCCAAAGTAGCTGTGACCGCATATTGTCTGCTTGCTCTTGCCCACCGTGAAATCCTGCGATGTCGCCCTGCTGCTTTGACCGCGCGGCCACGCCGTGTCATGCGTGCCGCTCTGCGCCCTGCAGCAAGGTCAACTCCAAGGTATGCTGCTTGCAGGACTGGTCGTAGCGTGAAACCTCGTCGCCGAAGAGCTGCTGTGATCGTCTTTGCCTGTTGATGCTTGGCTGCGATCAGCACGCTCTTGGAGGCAACTGATAGCTGCTCCTCTGCAAGGAAATTGAACGTATCTGTTACTCCTTTGGCTAACTTCCGAAAAACAAACTTCTCTGATCCAACAGCTGATTCACTCAAATCGTCAATCCAGAGCCGTACATGTAGCCCTGGGTTCCCCTCGGTAAGCTTCTTCATCACGAAATGTGTCGCGCACTTGCCGAAGCGTGTCCCGTTCCTGAGACCTTGGATGATCGATCTTGCAACCTGGAACGGCCGACACGTTGAGCCGAGCTGAGTCATCATTCGTGGTGCTGTGCAGAGCTGGAGCTCTAAAAACAAGATGACTGGGGGGAAATTCAGCTTAAGTGCGGCATATACCAGGCATGCCCAAGTGACCGCATCATAGAAAGACTGGATGTCCAGGATGGCATGCGCATATGATACGCCCAGCACTCCGTAGATCTCCTCGTACACAGTCTTGAGGAATGCCTCACGTAGCGCCGCATTCCCTGCCAGCGCTGCATCCCAACTCTCACTGGAATCAATCGTCCAAGGTTTCATGATGTCTTCGCGGATCATGGACCAAATCCTACACACCATACATAAAATGCCAATCACGCGATCGCCTTGAGCCTTTTTAGGCAAGAGGCGGCCCTCGACGATGAGCAGCCTGTGGATGCCAATGCGGATCCCGATGCGGTTCCCGATGCGGATGCCCATGCGGATGCCCATGCGCATTGCCATGCACATCCCTGTGCGAATCCCACTGCGGATCCTTACGCGGACCCCTATGCGGATGCGCATGCGCATCCCTATGCGTATCCCCATGATGTTCCCAATGCGGACCAGACTCCGCCAGTCATGCCCCAAGCAGTTAAGAAACAAGCTCGAACAGCCCGCGTGTCTGTCTGGCATCAGCAAAGCGCGGTGACAGACGACGGTCATAGATCGCCACAACGGTGCCGTGGAGAACTGCCGCGAGTGCGTGTCGCCATATGGTTTCGCCGATGACATCTTG